ACAAACAAGCAAGATTTCTGGCTCTCACAGACCTGTAACTTCTTCTTTAAGAGGCTCCTCTGTCCTCCACTCGTTACCTGTATTAATGGCACCTGTTTGAACTTGTTATCAGTATAAAAGACACCTGTCCACAACCTCAAACAGTCACACTCCAAACTCCACTATGGCCAAGACCAAAGAGCTGTCAAAGGACACCAGAAACAAAATTGTAGACCTGCACCAGGCTGGGAAGACGGAATCTGCAATAGGTAAGCAGCTTGGTTTGAAGAAATCAACTGTGGGAGCAATTATTAGGAAATGGAAGACATACAAGACCACTGATAATCTCCCTCGATCTGGGGCTCCACGCAAGATCTCACCCAGTGGGGTCAAAATGATCACAAGAACGGTGAGCAAAAATCCCAGAACCACACGGGGGGACCTAGTGAATGACCTGCAGAGAGCTGGGACCAAAGTAACAAAGCCTACCATCAGTAACACACTACGCCGCCAGGGACTCAAATCCTGCAGTGCCAGACGTGTCCCCCTGCTTAAGCCAGTACATGTCCAGGCCCGTCTGAAGTTTGCTAGAGTGCATTTGGATGATCCAGAAGAGGATTGGGAGAATGTCATATGGTCAGATGAAACCAAAATATAACTTTTTGGTAAAAACTCAACTCGTCGTGTTTGGAGGACAAAGAATGCTGAGTTGCATCCAAAGAACACCATACCTACTGTGAAGCATGGGGGTGGAAACATCATGCTTTGGGGCTGTTTTTCTGCAAAGGGACCAGGACGACTGATCCGTGTAAAGGAAAGAATGAATGGGGCCATGTATCATGAGATTTTGAGTGAAAACCTCCTTCCATCAGCAAGGGCATTGAAGATGAAACGTGGCTGGGTCTTTCAGCATGACAATGATCCCAAACACACCGCCCGGGCAACGAAGGAGTGGCTTCGTAAGAAGCATTTCAAGGTCCTGGAGTGGCCTAGCCAGTCTCCAGATCTCAACCCCATAGAAAGTCTTTGGAGGGAGTTGAAAGTCTGTGTTGCCCAGCGACAGCCCCAAAACATCACTGCTCTAGAGGAGATCTGCATGGAGGAATGGGCCAAAATACCAGCAACAGTGTGTGAAAACCTTGTGAAGACTTACAGAAAACATTTGACCTGTGTCATTGCCAACAAAGGGTATATAACAAATTATTGAGAAACTTTTGTTATTGACCAAATACTTATTTTCCACCATAATTTGCAAATAAATTCATTAAAAATCCTACAATGTGATTTTCTGGAGAAAGAAAATCTCATTTTGTCTGTCATAGTTGACGTGTACCTATGATGAAACTTACAGGCCTCTCTCATCTTTTTAAGTGGGAGAACTTGCACAATTGGTGGCTGACTAAATACTTTTCCCCCCCACTGTTTACAGTGTTGTAACAATGTGCAAATAGTTAAAGTACAAATGGGAAAATAAATAAACATGGGTTATATTTACAATGGTGTTTGTTCTTCACTGGTTGCCCTTTTCTTGTGGCAACAGGTCACACATCTTGCTGCTGTGATGGCACACTGTGGTTTTTCATCCAGTAGATAAGGGAGTTTATCAAAATTGGGTTTTTTTTTCGAATTCTTTGTGGATCTGTGTAATCTGAGGGAAATGTGTGTGTCTAATATGGTTATACATTTGGCAGGAGGTTAGGAAGTGCAGCTCAGTTTCCACCTCATTTTGTGGATAGTGTGTTTATAGCCTGTCTTCTCTTGAGAGCCAGGTCTGCCTACGGCGGCCTTTCTCAATAGCAAGGCTATGCTCACTGAGCCTGTACATAGTCAAAGCTTTCCTTAAGTTTAGGTCAGTCACAGTGGTCAGGTATTCTGCCACTGTGTACTCTCTGTTTAGGGCCAAATAGCATTCTAGTTTGCTCTGTTTTTTTGTTAATTATTTCCAATGTGTCAAGTAATTCTCTTTTTGTTTTCTCATGATTTGGTTGGGTCTAAATGTGTTGTTGTTGTTGTCCTGGAGCTCTATGGGGTCTGTTTGTGTTTGTGAACAGAGCCCCAGGACCAGCTTACTTAGGGGACTCTTCTCCAAGTTCATCTCTCTGTAGGTGATGGCTTTGTTATGGAAGGTTTGGGAATCACTTCCTTTTAAGTGGTTATAGAATTGAACGGCTCTTTTCTGGATTTTGATAATTAGTGGGTATCGGTCTAATTCTGCTCTGCATGCATTATTTGGTGTTTTTCGTTGTACACTGAGGATATTTTTGCAGAATTCTGCATGCAGAGTCTCAATTTGGTGTTTGTCCCATTTTGTGAATTCTTGGTTGGTGAGCGGACCCCAGACCTCACAACCATAAAGGGCAATGGGTTCTATAACTGATTCAAGTATGTTTAGCCAGATCCTAATTGGTATGTCGAATTTTATGTTCCTTTTGATGGCATAGAAGGCCCTTCTTGCCTTGTCTCTCAGATTGTTCACAGCTTTGTGGAAGTTACCTGTGGCGCTGATGTTTAGGCCAAGGTATGTATAGTTTTTTGTGTGCTCTAGGGAAACGGTGTCTAGATGGAATTGTATTTGTGGTCCTGGCAACTGGACCTTTTTTGGAACAGCATTATTTTTGTCTTACTGAGATTTACTGTCAGGGCCCAGGTCTGACAGAATCTGTGCAGAAGATCTAGATGCTGCTGTAGGCACTCCTTGGTTGGTGACAGAAGCACCAGATCATCAGCAAACAGTAGACATTTGACTTCAGATTCTAGTAGGGTGAGGCCGGGTGCTGCAGACTGTTCTAGTGCCCTCGCCAATTCGTTGATATATATGTTGAAGTGGGTGGGGCTTAAACTGCATCCCTGTCTCACCCCATGGCCCTGTGGAAAAAATGTGTGTTTTTCGCGCACTTGTTGTTTGTGTACATGGATTTTATAATGTCATATGTTTTTCCCTCAACCCCACTTTCCATCAATTTGTATAGCAGACCCTCATGCCAAATTGAGTCAAAAGCTTTTTTGAAATCAACAAAGCATGAGAAGACTTTGCCTTTGTTTTGTTTTGTTTGTTTGTCAATTAGGGTGTGCAGGTTGAATACGTGGTCTGTGGTACGGTAATTTGGTAAAAAAAACTATTTGACATTTGCTCAGTACATTGTTTTCACTGAGGAAATGAACTAGTCTGCTGTTAATGCAGAGGATTTTCCCAAGGTTGCTGTTGATGCATATCCCACGGTAGTTATTGGGGTCAAATTTGTCTCAACTTTTGTGGATTGGGGTGATCAGTCCTTGGTTCCAAATATTGGGGAAGATGCCAGAGCTATGGATGATGTTAAAAAGTTAATGTATAGCCAATTGGAATTTGTGGTCTGTATATTTTATCATTTAATTGAGGATACCATCAACACCACAGGCCTTTTTTGGGCTGGAGGGTTTGTATTTTGTCCTGTAGTTCATTCAATGTAATTAGAGAATCCAGTGGGTTCTGGTAGTCTTTAATAGTTGATTCTAAGATTTGCATTTGATCATGTATATTTTTTTGCTGTCTGTTCTTTGTTATAGCTCCAAAAAGATTGGAGACGTGGTTTACCCATACATCTCCATTTTGGATAGATATCTCTTCGTGTTGTTGTTTGTTTAGTGTTTTCCAATTTTCCCAGAAGTGGTTAGTCTATGGATTCTTCAATTACATTGAGCTGATTTCTGAAATGCTGTTCCTTCTTTTTCCGTAGTGTATTTCTGTATTGTTTTAGTGATTCACCATAGTGAAGGCGTAGGCTCAGGTTTTCTGGGTCTCTATGTTTTTGGTTGGATAGGTTTCTCAATTTCTTTCTTAGGGTTTTGCATTCTTCATCAAACCATTTGTCAATGTTGTTACTTTTCTTCAGTTTTCTGTTAGAGATTTTTAGATTTGATAGGGAAGCTGAGAGGTCAAATATACTGTTTAGGTGTTCTACTGCCAAGTTTACACCTTCACTATTACAGTGGAACGTTTTGTCCAGGAAGTTGTCTAAAAGGGATTGAATTTGTTGTTGCCTAATAGTTCTTTGGTAGGTTTCGACACTACTTTCCTTCCATCTATAGCATTTCTTAATATTATTCAGTTCCTTTGGCTTTGATGCCTCATGATTGAGTATTGCTCTGTTCAAGTAGACTGTGATTTTGCTGTGGACTGATAGGGGTGTCAGTCGGCTGACTGTGAACGCTCTTAGAGACTCTGGGTTAAGGTTAGTGATAAAGTAGTCTACAGTACTACTCCCAAGAGATGAGCTATAGGTGTACCTACCATAGGACTCCCCTCGAAGCCTACCGTTGACTATGTACATACCCAGCGTGGGACAGAGCTGCGGGAGTTGTGACCCGTTTTTGTTGGCTATGTTGTCGTAGTTGTGCCTAGGGGGGCATATGGGGGAGGGAATGCTGTCTCCCTCCAGCAGGTGGTGTTTTTTCGTTGTTTCGCCTATCAAGCAAGGAGTTTTTGTATGACGTCATTGAGTGTCGAAGTAGGTCAACAAGAAAAAAGGAATGGCTTATTTGCTACGTGAGGTTTATTTGATCGAATATAAGTTTCGTAATGCTTAATTTGTTACGAGTGTACTGATGTAAGTAGGACACGTGACTCCCAGGCAACTTTGAGAAAAAACACTTTATATCAGAGCTGTCTCGGTGATGGTTATGCATATTCATGCCATAAGGCTAGTAGCATAGCATCTCTCTCCATTGAAAACAGGCGGTTGACGTAAAACCCTTATCGAATATTAAAAAAGGTATTACAATAATGAGATGTATCCACCAATCCAAAGAAAGGATAAACTGGACAGGCCGCTTTGTGGATAACGTCGACTCCCATTGTTAGGGCAGAGAGACATGCATCTTGTCAGTATATCCATAATCGTTGTACATGACAGTTTACCCAATTTAACCACAACATTCAGAAGTCAGAGAGCATAACCGATCCTAGATCAGCGCTCTGGAGCAAACTATCGCTGAACAGCGGCAGTCGTGTTATAGCGACTGTTGCTTTTGTTGTCAGCAAAATGGCGACAAGCGGAGAAGCCCCTGAATCTTGGTACCTGGCTCTGCTCGGCTTTGCAGAACATTTTCGCACCTCAAGTCCCCCCAAGATCCGTCTCTGCGTCCACTGTCTGCAGGCGGTGTTTCAGTTCAAGCCGCCGCAGAGGGTCGAAGCCCGAACCCATCTACAACTGGGCTCGGTACTCTACCACCACACCAAGAACACCGAACTCGCCCGGAGCCACTTGGAGAAAGCGGTGAGCATTTCCTAGGAAACTTCGTGGATGTGGTGGAGGGGAAAGGAAGGCCGCAGTTAGGGCAAAGCGGTCTGTGTTACAAATCAGAAAAGTGAACCAACGTGCTTGATTTAATCAGTGAGAATATTACATTATCGCGTGACAGCTTACAATAATTGTTAGGATATCAATAAAGCAATGCAACATTCCATGTACAAAACTGATATTGAAACTAACTTTCGCACTCTATTTTCTTCCACAGTGGTTCATATCACAACAAGTATCCTTTTGCATTAGAATGATTTCGTGTGTGAGAACATGCATCGAACTCAGTAGTTCTCAAACGTCTCCCCGTTCCATTTATTTGATCTATTCCCGAACTAGCACACCTGATTCAACTTGTTAATTAATCATCAAGATTCAACTTGTTAATTAATCATCAAGATTCAACTTGTTAATTAATCATCAAGCCCTTGAAAAAGTGAATCAGGTGAACTAGTTCTGGGCTACGACAAAATTGTGAAACATTGGGGCTCCCCCCAGGGAGGGGAGGGACTGTTTATATGGTTGTTGTTGCGAGCCACTTAGTCAATAAGCATCGTTCAGTTTAGAATGCAAATAGCTTAATCAGCTGTGTTTGCTAGGGATGGGGAAATAGTGTGACACCACTCCGGCCCCCGAGTGAGATGTACCTTCATGATTCATGTTGCGTAAAATGCTGCCACCACTTCCTCACTGAGTTCTTGAAAAGACAAGGTTGAGAAACAAGGGACTTTTTGGTAGTTAGAGTGGGGGTTTCAGATATGGAGGTCAAGGACGGGAGGTTGATAGGCGTCAAGCACAAAAATGGAAATACGTATTTTGGAAAAGTTGAAGAAACAAAGGGGGAAAAACCTGGGACAAGAGATGATGTTGAGAGAGAGAAGTACAAAAATGGGAAATCATGCTACAGCAGTTCGGAAGGTGAAACTGACAAGAGGAAGATGGTGGCAGGGTTGAGGGAACCAGGAAAAATAGAATATGTACGTTAGTAGCTCAGAATGTGAAACTGATGCGTGACATGTAGACATGTAGGGAGAGGATAATGTAAAAAAAGGAGGAGTGGATTCGGAGCTGCAAGGTGTGGAGGTTGATGTGTCTGTGAAGAAAGAAAAGGATGACAAAGATGATTCTGGCCCAGTGGGATTGAGAATTTTGGAGAGAATGCATCCTTGCCTTCTGGCTGATTACATATGTGGTGTCAGGTTGGGTGAAGAAGAGTTTGGGGACTGTTGAGTCGGTGAAAGTAACTCAAAGTGGACTTGTGATGATTTTTTTGCGTTTCTTCTGTCCAGAGGGAGCGGGCACTTCTCACCACGTGCCTAGGGACAAGAACTGTGACTTGCTTTGCTCTCCGGAGCAGGGAGTCGTTGAAAGGAGTGATACCTGGGGTGACGTTAAGTGTTAAGGATGATCAACTGAAATGGAAGATTCCCAGTGTCTGACGCCCGTCATTTAGTGCGACGCAGACCCGGTGGAGAGCGTGGCGAAACAGAGAAGACACTCTTATCCCATGAGAGCTTTTGTCCTGAACCCATTACAGTGTTTTAGGTGCCAAGTCTTATGTCATGTTGCAGCATTGTGTAGGAGGGAGATTCCTAAATGTGAGAAGTGTGCAGTCCGGGCATGAGACAAAGGAATGTGTAGTTTTGGTGGAAAGAGTTGTGTGTGTGTGTGTGTGTGGTTTAACTGTAGGGGTACCCATGGTACTGGAGAGCAGAAGTGTCCGGTGAGGGAGGGGCAGGTTGAGGTTGCCAGGATCAGAGTATTACAGAAGGTGTCGTATGCTGAGGCAGTGAAGAGAATAGTAGAGGAAGATGGATCCTAAGAGGCTCCCTGTGAGTAGGCAGAGACCAATCGAGAGTGATAGGAATAATGTGCTTCAGAAAGGTTGGTTTCTTCCCTTTCATAGCCGTGGTTATCAACTGTAGTGCAGAAATGGAACGTAAATCACAGAAAATAGATGTGGTGGCAGCTGCAGAGAAGTATACTTGGGTGTACGAGATTTTGCTGCAGAAGAGTTATAAGGTGTGTTGAACGATAGTGTCCCGTCCTCCCAGCAATCTTTCTTCCCTTTTCCCTTCACAAAGTTTAATGAATTCACACTTAATGAATTCACACAATTCACACTAAATAAGAAAAATGTATGAATAGGGAGGCCGTGACCGGCCTCATACTCCAATACAGTAGGTGGCGGTGTATGCACCTCTCGGTTGCTATCCGCCATATTCAAATTTAAAGAAGGGTGCCCAGGGGAGGTTTGATAACCACTGATCTAACTGAAGAAAAGATGACCATGCTTTCATTTCTTTTTTTTACGTCTTCATTAATACTAGTGTTATTGTTCAGATTGCAGAAAAATACATTTCCTTTACAAACAATACCAGATCCCTCAGTTTGAAGATGTCAAATTTGAGGCTGCAAGTCTTCTGTCAGAGCTCTATTGCCAACAGGTAAGTGAAGTGTTGTTATCCTTGGCACCCTGTGGCCTTCCTTCACCTTGCACTTGGCCATTTCCTGAATTTAAACAGTTCTGTTCACTCTTGTCTTTGCATTTTTATTTGTCATCCTTTCTGCAGTTATCAGCCTTTTTTCAATACAATGTCATACTCATTAATGTGTCAAAATGTCATACTCATTCATTTTACTTTTTGGCTGTTATGTCATCATAAAATAAGCTTGATCAGTAATCCTTACATTGTCTTTTTCCTCATTGAGCTGCTTTTGCATGTAAGTGAACTCTGAAACTAAGATAAAGTAGCATATGGTAGTTTGTTTAAAAAACACTTCTAAATGTAGGTTTCTGTATTGTAGTAAAAGTTATTTAAGTTATTGAACTGATTATCTCTGGTCTTTTTTTGAAGAATCTGGTTGACTCTGCAAAGCCCTTGCTGCGGAAGGCCATCCAGATCTCCCAACAAACTCCCTACTGGCACTGCAGATTACTCTTCCAACTGGCGGTAAGTCAAACTAATAACTCAATCTGTAAATGTATTTAAGCTTTGAAATAACCTCTATTTACAGTGCCTTCAGAAAGTATTCACACCCCTTGACTTATTCCACATTTTGTTGTTACAGCCTGAATTCAAAATGGATTAAAACAAAAAACAATCTCACCCATCTAGACACAATACCCCATAATGACAAAGTTCAAATGTGTTTTTTTAAACATTTTTGCTAATTTATTGAAAATGAAATACAGATATCTCATGTTAGAACCACCTTTGGCAGCAATTACAGCTGTGAGTCTTTCTGACACCTGGATTGTATAATATTTGCACATTGTTCTTAAAAATATTCTTCAAGCTCTGTCAAGTTGTTTTTTGACCATTGCTAGACAGCCATTTTCAAGTCTTGCCTCAGATTTTCAAGTAGATTTAAGTCAACTGTAACTAGGCCACTCAGGAACATTCAATGTCGTCTTGGTAAGCAACTCCACTATATATTTGGCCTAGTGTTTTAAGTTATTGTCCTGCTGAAAGGTGAATTTGTCTCCCAGTGTCTGTTGGAAAGTAGACTGAACCAGGTGTTCCTCAAGGATTTTGCCTGTGCTTAGCTCTATTCCGTTTATTTTTATCCTAAAAAACTCAGTAGTCCTTGCCGATGACAAGCATACCCATAACAAAATGCAGCTTGAAAATATGAAGTGGTAGTCGGTGATGTCTTGTTGGATTTGCCCGAAACATATCGCTTTGTATTCAGGACATGAAGTTAATTTCTTTGCCACATTTTTTAAATCCAGTTTTATACTAAACAAACGCAACATGTAAAGTGTTGGTCCCATGTTTCATGAGCTGAAATAAAAGATCCCAGAAATATTTTTCCATACACACAAAAAGCTTATTTCTCTCAAATTTTGTGCACAAATTTGTTTACATTCCTGTTAGTGAGCATTTCTCCTTTGCCAAGATAATCCATCCACCTGACAGGTGTGGCATATCAAGAAGCTGATTAAACAGCATGATCATTACACAGGTGCACCTTGTGCTGGGGACAATAAAAGGCCACTAAAATGTGCAGTTTGGTCACATAACACAATGCCACAGATGTCTGAAGTTTTAAGGGAGCATGCAGTTGGCATGCTGACTGCAGGAATGTCCACGAGCTGTTGCCAGAGAATTGAATGTTAAATTCTCGACCATAAGCCGGCTCCGTCGTTTTAGAGAATTTGGAAGTATGTCCAACCGGCCTCACAACCGCAGACCATAGGTAACCACGCCAGCCCAGGACCTCCACATCCAGCTTCTTCACCTGCGGGACCGTCTGAGACTAGCCGTCCGGACAGCTGATGAAACTGAGGAGTATTTCTGTCTGTAATAAAGCCCTTTTGTGGGGGAAAAACTCATTCTGATTGTCTGGGCCTGGCTCCCAAGTGGGTGGACCTATGCGCTCCCAGGTCCACCCATGGCTGCGCCCCTTCCAAGTCAAGTGAATTCCATAGATTAGGGCCTAATGAATGTATTTCAATTGACTGATTTCCTTATATGAACTGTAACTCAGTAAAATTGTTGCGTTTATATTTTTGTTCAGTATACTTTAGTGCCTTATTGCAAAGGATGCATGTTTTGGAATATTTTTGTTCTGTATTTTTACTCTGTCATTTAGGTTAGGGTTGTGGAGTAACTACAATGTGGTTGATCTATCCTCAGTTTTTAACTCTTAACTGTTTTAAAATCATCATTGGCCTCATGGTGAAATCCCTGAACAGTTTCCTTCCTCTCCAGCAACTGAGTTAGGAAGGACACCTGTATTTTTGTAGTGACTGGGTGTATTGATAAACCATCCAAAGTGTAATGAATAACTTCACCATGGTGAAAGGGATATTTAATGTTATTTTTTTCTACCAATAGGTTCCCTTCTTTGCGAGGCATTGGAAAACCTCCCTGGTCTTTGTGGTTGAATCTGTGTTTGAAATTCACTGCTCGACTGAGGGATCTTACAGATAATTGTATGTGCGGGGTACAGAGATGAGGTAGTCATTGAAAAAATCATGTTAAACACTATTATTGCACACAGTGCAATAATAGAGTTTAATGGAGTGAGTCCATGCAACTCAGTATGTGACTTGTTAAGCAAATTGACTCCTGAACTTATTTAGGCTTGCCATAACAAAGGGGTTGAATACTTATTGACTAAATACATTTCAGCATTTCATTTTTAATTAATTTGTATATAAAAATATTTAAAAAAGACATACAGTACCAGTCAAAAGTTTGGACACACCTACTCATTCCAGGATTATTTTTTATTTTTTTTACTGTTTTCTACATTGTAGAATAATAGTGAAGACATCAAAACTATAAAGTAACACGGGGGACCAGTATGAAAAAAAAAAAATTATGCACTCACTACATTGACTCAAGTCGCTCTGGATAAGAGCGTCTGCTAAATGACTAAAACGTAAATGATATGGAATCATGTAGTAACCAAAAAAGTGTTAAACAAATCAATATATATTTGAGATTCTTCAAAGTAGCCACCCTTTGCCTTGATGACAGCTTTGCATACTCTTGGCATTCTCTCAACCAGCTTCATGAGGTAGTCACCTGGAATGCATTTCAATGAACAGGTGTGCCTTGTTAAAAGTTAATTTGTTGAATTTCTTTCCTTCTTAATGCGTTTGAGCCAATCTGTTGTGTTGTGACAAGGTATGGTTGGTAAACAGAAGAAGATAGCCCTATTTGGTAAAAGACCAAGTCCATATTATGGCAAGAACAGCTCAAATAAGCAAAGAGAAACGACAGACCATTACTTTAAGACATGAAGGTCAGTCAATCCGGAAAATTACAAGAACTTTGAACGTTTCTTCAAGTGCAGTCGCAAAGACCATCAAGCGCTATGATGAAACTGGCTCTCATGAGGACCACCACAGGAATGGAAGACCCAGAGTTACCTCTACTGCAGAGGATAAGTTCAATAGAGTTACCAGCCTCAGAAATTGCAGTCCAAAGAAATACTTCAGAGTTCAAGTAACAGACACATCTCAACATCAACTGTTCAGAGGGGACAGTGTGAATCAGGCCTTCATGGTCGAATTGCTGCAAAGAAACCACTACTAAAGGACACCAATAAGAAAAAGAGACCTGCTTGGGCCAAGAAACATGAGCAATGGACATTAGACCGGTGGAAATGTGTCCTTTGGTCTGGAGTCCAAATTGGAGATTCTTGGTTCCAACCGCCGTGTCTTCGTGAGATGCGGTGTGGGTGAACGGATGATCTCCGCATGTGTATTTCCCACCGTAAATCATGGAGGAGGAGGTATTATAGTGTGGGGGTGCTTTGCTGGTGACACTGTCAGTGATTTATTTAGAATTCAAGGCACACTTAACCAGCATGGCTACCACAGCATTCTCCAGTGATACGCCATCCCATCTGGTTTGGGCTTAGTGGGACTTTTGTTTTTCAACAGGACAATGACCCAACACATCTCCAGGCTGTGTAAGGGCTATTTGACAATTAGCCTGGCCTCCACAATCACCTGACCTCAATCCAAGTGAGATGGTTGGACCGCAGAGTGAAGGAAAAGCAGCAAACAAGTGCTCAGCATATGTGGGAACTCCTTCAAGACTGTTGGAAAAGCATTCCAGGTGAAGCTGGTTGAGAGAATGCCAAGAGGGTGAAAAGCTGTCATCAAGGCAAAGGGTGGCTACTTTGAAGAATCTAAAATATATTTTGATTTGTTTAACACTTTTTTGGTTACTACATGATTCCAGAGTTGCAAGGAAAAAGCCATATCTCAGACTGGCCAATAAAAAGAAAAGATTAAGATGGGCAGTCAGATATATGGCTTTTTCTTTGCAACTCTGCCTAGAAGGTCAGCATCCCGGAGTCGCCTCTTCACTGTTGACGTTGAGACTGGTGTTTTGCGGGTACTATTTAATGAAGCTGCCAGTTGAGGAACTGTGAGGCTCCTGTTTCTCAAACTAGACGCTAATGTATTTGTCCTCTTGCTCAGTTGTGCACCGGGGCCTCTCACTCCTCTATCTATTCTGGTTTGAGCCAGTTTGTGCTGTTCTGTGAAGGGAGTAGTATATAGCGTTGTACGAGATCTTCAGTTTCTTGGCAATTTCTCACATGGAATAGCCTTCATTTCTCAGAACAAGAATAGACTGACGAGTTTCAGAAGAACGTTTTTGAGCCTGTAATCGAACCCACAATTGCTGATGTTACAGATACTCAACTAGTCTCAAGAAGTTTTATTGCTTCTTTAATCAGCACAACAGTTTTCAGCTGTGCTAACATAATTGCAAAAGGGTATTCTAATGAACAATTAGCCTTTTTAAAATGATAAACTTGGATTAGGAAACACAATGTGCCATTGGAACACAGGACTGATGGTTGCTGATAATGGGCCTCTGTACGCCTATGTAGATATTCCATAAAAAATCAGCTATTTCCACCTACAATAGCCATTTACAACATTAACAATGTCTACACTGTATTTCTGATAAATTTCAATGGACAAAAAAATTGCTTTTCTTTCGAAAACAAGGACATTTCTAAGTGACCCCAAACTTTTGAACGGTAGTATACAGTGAGGGAAAAAAGTATTTGATCCCCTGCTAATTTTGTACGTTTGCCCACTGACAAATAAATGATCAGTCTATAATTTTAATGGTAGGTTTATTTGAACAGTGAGAGACAGAATAACAACAACAAAAAATCCAGAAAAACGCATGTTAAAAATGTTATGAATTAATTTGCATTTTAATTAGGGAAATAAGTATTTGACCCCTCTGCAAAACATGACTTAGTACTTGGTGGCAAAACCCTTGTTGGCAATCACAGAGGTCAGACGTTTCTTGTAGTTGGCCACCAGGTTTGCACACATCTCAGGAGGGATTTTGTCCCACACCACTTTGCAGATCTTCTCTAAGTCATTAAGGTTTCGAGGCTGACGTTTGGCAACTCGAACCTTCAGCTCCCTCCACAGATTTTCTATGGGATTAAGGTCTGGAGACTGGCTAGGCCACTCCAGGACCTTAATGTGCTTCTTCTTGAGCCACTCCTTTGTTGCCTTGGCCGTGTGTTTTGGGTCATTGTCATGCTGGAATACCCATCCACGACCCATTTTCAATGCCCTGGCTGAGGGAAGGAGGTTCTCACCCAAGATTTGACGGTACATGGCCCCGTCCATCGTCCCTTTGATGCGGTGAAGTTGTCCTGTCCCCTTAGCAGAAAAACACCCCCAAAGCATAATGTTTCCACCTCCATGTTTGACGGTGGGAATGGTGTTCTTGGTGTCATAGGCAGCATTCCTCCTCCTCCAAACAGTTGAGTTGATGCCAAAGAGCTCGATTTTGGTCTCATCTGACCACAACACTTTCACCCAGTTCTCCTCTGAATCATTCAGATGTTCATTGACAAACTTCAGACGGGCCTGTATATGTGCTTTCTTGAGCAGGGGGACCTTGCGGGCGCTGCAGGATTTCAGTCCTTCACGGCGTAGTGTGTTACCAATTGTTTTCTTGGTGACTATGGTCCCAGCTGCCTTGAGATCATTGACAAGATCCTCCTGTGTAGTTCTGGGCTGATTCCTCACCATTCTCATGATCATTGCAACTCCACGAGGTGAGATCTTGCATGGAGCCCCAGGCCGAGGGAGATTGACAGTTATTTTGTGTTTCTTCCATTTGCGAATAATCGCACCAACTGTTGTCACCATCTCACCAAGCTGTTTGGCGATGGTCTTGTAGCCCATTCCAGCCTTGTGTAGGTCTACAATCTTGTCCCTGACATCCTTGGAGAGCTCTTTGGTCTTGGCCATGGTGGAGAGTTTGGAATCTGATTGATTGCTTCTGTGGACAGGTGACTTTTTATACAGGTAACAAGCTGAGATTAGGAGCACTCCCTTTAAGAGTGTGCTCCTAATCTCAGCTCGTTACCTGTATAAAAGACACCTGGGAGCCAGAAATCTTTCTGATTGAGAGGGGGTCAAATACTTATTTCCCTCATTAAAATGCAAATCAATTTATAACATTTTTGACATGCGTTTTTCTGGATTTTGTTGTTGTTATTCTGTCTCTCACTGTTCAAATAAACCTACCATTAAAATTATAGACAGATCATTTCTTTGTCAGTAGGCAAACGTACGAAATCAGCAGGGGATCAAATACTTTTTTCCCTCACTGTATATTATTCCACTGACATTATGGGGTATTGTGTTTAGGCCAGTGACACAAAATCTAAATGTAATCAATTTTAAATTCAGGCTGTAACGCAACAAAATGTGGAAAAAGTAAAGGGGTGTGAATACTTTCTGAAGGCACTGTACTTATATATTGATAATTAGTTACTTTCCTCAATGGTCCTGTTTCTTCCCCTCAGCAACTGCACACGCTGGAGAAGGATCTAGTGTCAGCCTGTGACCTCCTGGGGGTTGGGGCAGAGTATGCCCGGGTAGTGGGCTCCGAATACACCAGGTAGTGTATCATGGTACAACACAACATAAGTCAAACCATTTGAGCAGTTCTCGTCATGTCCGTACATTGTCAAGGTGTTGTTTTACTGCTCTGATGACGACTAGTGTTGTAGTCTGGTTATAAGATGTTACTGATATTCTTATGTTCTTTCCTCTCGCACAGAGCCCTCTTTCTTTTGAGTAAAGGAATGGTAAGTTGAGAAACATACTGATCATCTCAAGATTCTCTCATGATGATGAATTCAAATTAAGTCATGATAATTTCTATGAAGTAAATTCAATATAAAATTCTGCTGGAGCCACTTAGACCATTACTTCCTTGACTGTTTTAATGAAAGTCTTGATGCCCACCTAATAAACAAAACAAATGCTAATTTTGTGCTGTTTAATGAAAGGGATAATCCACCCCAATCCACTAATTCCTAAAATGAACAGTGTTAAATAACACTATGTTACCTGTTTTAAGAAGAGTGAAATGTCACCCTGTGTGTTTGTCTGAAGCTGCTGCTGATGGAGAGGAAGCTTGGGGAGGTGCATCCTCTGCTGACGCTGTGTGGGACCATCGTGGAGAACTGGCAGGGAAACCCCATCCAGAAGGAGTCCCTCAGGGTGTTCTTCCTGGTGCTGCAGGTCACACACTACCTGGACGCTGGACAGGTACAGAAATCAGTATCACTTTTATTCGGCAAGAACATTTACGCATACCTGGAATTTGATTTGAAGTGTTTCCGCCAGCAACAGACAAAGTATATATAGACAGGAATTTACGCAATCGACTTACTGTATTTGAGTGTGGTCACTGGTCACAAAATATAAGAGAAGGGCCTGTTATTGAAACATGTTTGAAATGGGACTTAATCAACACGACAGGAATTAAGAGCAATAAGCAAGCAGAGATGAACTCATCATACAACGCGCAGGAATTATTCCATATGCAGCCCCACTTGTAAAGGCACATAACTGATGTGATGAATACATTTATTTGGGCTGATAGGTTAAGAGTGTGAAGCCGTGTCTGAAGCAGCTCCAGCAGTGCATCCAGACCATCTCTACACTCCACGATGATGAGATCCTACCCAGTAACCCTGCTGACCTGTTCCACTGGTTGCCCAAGGAGCACATGTGTGTCCTCGTCTACCTGGTGGGATACAGACACTGTACATGACCTTTGACCTCTATGGGTCATATTGTTGTCACTACATATGTTAAAACAGTGACTTTACTTTTTTCTCACACAGGTGACAGTCATGCACTCCATGCAAGCAGGCTACCTGGAGAAGGCCCAGAAATACACAGACAAAGCTCTCATGCAGCTGGAAAAGCTCAAAAGTAAGTCATGGGAATCATCACCATAGAATTACATATCGAAGTAATTTCATAGGATCTCTGTGATCCTCACTCTCTGAACCTCACCCTCTCTCAACAGCTCCCAGTGATTTTTTTTTTTGCAGTAGTAGTATTCATGTGTTTGTTGGTAACTTTCTGTTGTTATTGATTGTATTGTTGTGTTTTCTAGTGCTGGACTCCAGCCCCATCCTCTCCACATTCCAAGTCATCCTACTGGAGCACATCATCATGTGCCGACTTGTCACTGGTCACAAGGCCACGGCACTGCAAGAGGTATGGAACTAGGTTAACATACACATTCATTCATGTATACAGATAGTTAGACTGAAGCACACATTTTTGATGATGTTTCCCTATTCTCAGATCTCTCAGGTGTGTCAGCTGTGCGCTCAGTCCCCCAGGTTATTCACCAACCACGCATCCCAGCTACACACTCTGCTAGTGAGTATCAGAGATGTTCCGTTTTTCAGGCCTTCTAATGTGATTTGTTATATCTGTATGTTATAAATTAAATGGACAGGTAGTAATTTTGTCCAGATTTTCTATGTTGTGCCAATCACATCCCTTATCACGCTTGTGGTCTGTTCCAGGGTCTGTACTGCATCTCAGTGAACTGCATGGATAACGCAGAGGCGCAGTTCACTGCTGCCCTGCGGGTGAGTGACGTGAGTGTCTCTACTAAGATACCTATTGGCAAAATTAGTAACCTCTTAGTTTTATATTTCTTGGTGTGTTTACTGAAATACCTGTTTCACTCTTCCAGCTGACGACGCACCAGGAGCTGTGGGCGTTCATCGTGACCAACTTGGCCAGCGTCTACATCAGGGAGGGCAACAGGCACCAGGAGGTCAGAGGGCATCGGGTGCATTCAGGATCGCAGGGTTGTGGTGATGAATGGGAATGGCACTTCTTGACTTGGGTCTAACATCCCTTTTTCTGTTATAACAGCTGTATAGCCTGTTGGAGAGGATAAACCCAGATCACAACTTCCCTGTCAGGTAAGAAAATGTGTTTATATGGTTATCTATGTATTTTGGCAGCTCCAAGTGCATTCTTGCGATGTTTGAATCTAAATTGACTCCTCCGCCCCTTGCGTTCCAGCTCTCACTGTCTGCGAGCAGCAGCCTTCTACATCCGTGGACTCCTCTCTTTCTTCCAGGGACGATACAATGAGGCTAAGTAAGTTTATGGCTCACCAGACATTGTAGCAACAGCACAATTTCTTTATGTATGTTTCCAATACATCGCATACAAATAATATCTTCACCACACACATTTTGAATACCCTGCTCAGTTGGAAAGAAAGCCTAAGAGCACAACTGTGAAGCCTAAACCAAAAATGAGCGTATGACTGTGTGTCCCATTAGGCGGTTCCTGAGGGAGACTCTGAAGATGTCCAATGCTGAAGACCTGAATCGTCTGACTGCATGCTCTCTGGTCCTACTGGGCCATATCTTCTACGTGCTGGGGAACCACCGGGTGAGATCACATCAAAGGGCACTCCAGGGTTTTATAGCAGTGTTTCCCAAACCACATAATGCCTCAGAGCAATGCTAGGAGGTGTGCGTCAATCTGAACTATGCATTTGGTGCTTTGTTTCCTCCAGGAGAGCAACAACATGGTGGTTCCAGCTATGCAGTTGGCCAGCAAGATCCCCGACATGTCAGTCCAGCTCTGGTCCTCAGCTCTGCTCAAGGGTAAGACGACAGAGGTGTGTCTATGTGTCTGTGTGTCTGTGTGTGTGTGTGTGTGTGTGTGTGTGTGTGTGTGTGTGTGTGTGTGTGTGTGTGTGTGTGACATACTGACTGGGACTGTGTGTTTTCCTCCCTGTAGATCTGAACAAGGCTTGTGGGAACACGATAGACGCCCACGAGGCGGCTCAGATGCACCAGAACTTCTCCCAGCAGCTCCTGCAGGACCACATCGCTGCCTGCAGTCTCCCTGAGCACAACCTCATCAGTGTAAGGATCCATCAATCAAGCTATCAATATGGATATAATCCCTGCACAGCCTTCTAAAGCATAACTTCATTAGGATAAGAACTCATCAATCAATTAATCAATCGACATATATCAGTTAGTCATCATCCATCAATATCTTTGTACTGCACCATGGTGAATATTTATCCACAGAAAATGCCCTACATGCACAGCTAGAGGAATGAATGTGAGACAGTGAGCTGATGGACTGAGTGTTGTTGTTGTTGTTGTTGTTGCAGTGGACGGATGGACCACCTCCAGTGGGCCAGTTCCAGGCCCAGAACGGACCCACTACCAGCCTGGCCAGCCTGCTCTGAGCACCACCACGCCATGAAAGGGCGAGAGAGGAAGGGAACGGTAGAGGGGATAGAAGGAGGGATCGAGCATTGAAGGGAAAGAAAAGAAGAGGAAGACTCATATGCCGCTGATCTGCATACAGCCTGGATGCCGGTCTGTTTGAACATTGGTGTTACCATGCCAACGAGAAGAGCTAACTAATGCTGAAATGGAATACGACAGAGAGCGAGTACCTCAGACTGCCACTGGACACATAATGAAAGTAGAGTACCTTATAGAGTTGAAACCTCACATCTAATCTAACCTCACATATTTTACTGATATCCACATGGCAGTCAAAGCTAGCTTTTTGGTCTAGCTGGTGGTGTGTATGGTTGACAGAGCGAAAAGACACCACCTGTACCCCAAGCTCAAGGCAGAACAATAAACCAGTGAGAAGACGGTCACTGGGATACTGGAGCACATGCGAGAGAGAACTTTAAACTGTGGTCCTCTGTAGCTCAGCTGGTAGAGCACGGCGCTTGTAACGCCAAGGTAGTGGGTTCGATCCCCAGGACCACCCATACACAAAAATGTATGACTGTAAGTCGCTTTGGATAAAAGCGTCTGCTAAATGGCATATTATTATTATTATTATTATTATTATTGTTATTATTAAACAATGGTTAGGTCTTACACTCTAACAACAGTCCTAGAGTTGGAAATAAAGGCATTGGATTGGGTGAATATTTTTATGTCATTGTTACTCTATTCATTTTTAATGGCAAATAGAATTTGGGGGGGCAGCAGTGTTTGCACCTGTTTTTTCACTAGGTGATAACTAAACTCAAACTTTACCTAGATATGTTATTCCTACTCATATTTTACCTTTTTGTTATACCTTTCATGTTTTGTATGTACCTTTGTAAATCTCCATGTTTTTTTAGGAATCTAAAAAGTACCGTCTGAACTCTCCTACCATATCCATTGCAACCAGAGGGGGGCACTGCTGAGTCATATTTGAGCAACCTGTTGGTGAAATTGCAAAGGACACTTCTTACTTGTATTTTACAGAACTGTTTTTAATGAGTGATAGGTTTTTCAAGAATAACACAATTCTTATTCACTGTCTAATTATATTTGAATGTCACTGTATTTTTTGTATGGTTATCCCAATGCAGACTCTTATTTTCGCAGCCAAACAAACCATTTTGAAATGACACCTATGTGTTGTAAATATTGACCTCTTTATTTTTACCAAATGAATCATTTATTAGATTTTGTAAAGTTTAACTATTTATATACCATGTTTGACAATATTATCAGTTTCACTATTTTGTTCCTTTTTGCAGATATGTTTTGGTAATATGACAGAAAATGTAAACGTTTTGTGACTTTTTCCCCAATGTGTATTTTTATGTTTCTTATGAATAATGATTTAAACATGTAAAGGCTAGGTTTTGTCAGTTGAGAATCAAAATGCTAGAGCTACGACAGCCTTAAGTTTTCAATTGTTTTCATGTCTATTTTATACTATGGGGTTACAATAGGTATTGTGTTTTTCATTTTTTTCAACACATTATCAAGAAAAGTTTCAAATAAAATTGCTAAAGGAAATTGAGTTGTCTTGCATCCACTGTATTTTATGCTGATCCAAAGACTTCAACTTTTCTTTGAGACCAAAAAAAAGGCTATTACACTCTAGACTAGAGCATTGGTCCTGAGACATAACATATAATCTAACAGCTCTGTTCAACCCATGTAACACACACCTTGACCCCAATCCTATGAGAATTGGATATACACAACACTTTAAATGCTCATTTTCAAATTTATGCTTGAGGGCACATTTATGCCCTCAATGTATGCTGGAAGAGATGTGTGGTAATGTCTGGTGAAGGCTGGGCAATGGTGGAAATGGCACTTTGAATGAAACTATTAAGAGCATAAATCAGTGTACCGGTATATGGGGATCGTTTCTGCATTGGAAATGGCTCTCCCCTCTATGCCCCTTCCTGAGAGAAGGGTAAAACCAAAGGTCTAATTGTGTGTAGTGTCTTGACCAAGGTTTGAATTACACATTCAAAAGATTGTTGGCCAGACCAATGTTAACATTCTTTACCTTTTTGGAGGTTTCCATGTTAATATTCTAAAGCTTATGGGAGAGCCCAGCCCCTCAATGGTCTTGATTTTGTCCTCCAGATATTGATCAAACCTAAATGACTAAAGATGCGAACAGAGGGAAGTGTATAGAAGTCCCAGTGGCCCTGTTTCTTTGCAGTGTGGCATACGATCTGTATTTGAGGTTGTTGTACACAGAATTCTCATTTTTATTCCATATGAAACTATAGTCTTACCTGTCCATTTGTAGCTTGTTTTTGGACACAGGTCCAGGAATGGCTAAAGGATTGCAATATTTACCTGGAGCTAACCCTGCAGATAGCACTACTGGGTGATCTGAAAAGTCATAGTCAATCGATCAATAATATAATAATACTTTTAGCAAAAATGTTTATTGACAATCTGTAGAAACAATGAGGATAGAAAGGTTCAGAACTTTTGTAAAACATCACAGTACAGTTGACAAATATATGGCAAATAGAAATCCAATATGGATGGTGTTAAGAGATAGATGGGTGGTGTTGAATGAAGTTTAAGGATGGGACTAACAACAACTAATAACAACAAGATAACTAATGTAAAGCATACTGTGTCCATTATAAGTATATAGGTTATAGGTTGAGAGCTTTTGTGAAAGAGCACAGTTAGAAAGATATGGCATATAGAAGCAAATCGGATGGACATCATGAAAATGATCGGAGAGGTTGAGGAAGTTCAGGAGTAAAAACAAACAAAATTGAATTATTGTAAAATTGACTGTGTCCATAAAATGTATATAGTATGTATAAGCTGGAAGTAGAGGCCTAAGCATTGTTGTTCACTAGTTTACTTCGATTAGGGAAGGGGTGGTGGGGTTGGAAAGTAATAAAGGGAAATATATATTTTTAAAGGATATGTATGTGTATTTATATGTATGTGTATGCATATATATATATATATATATATATATATATATATGTACAGTTGAAGTCGGAAGTTTACATACACTTAGGTTGGAGTCATTAAAACTCGTTTTTCAACCACTCCACAAATTTCTTAACAAACTATAGTTTTGGCAAGTCGGTTAGGACATCTACTTTGTCCATGACACAAGTAATTTTTCCAACAATTGTTTACAGACAGATTATTTCACTTATATTTCACTATATCACAATTCCAGTGAGTCAGAAGTTTACATACACTAAGTTGACTGTGCCTTTAAACAGCTTGGAAAATTCCAGAAAATGATGTCATGGCTTTAGAAGCTTCTGATAGGTTAATTGACATAATTTGAGTCAATTGGAGGTGTACCTGTGGATGTATTTCAAGGCCTACCTTCAAACTCAGTGCCTCTTTGCTGGACATCATCGGAAAATCAAAAGAAATCAGCCAAGACCTCAGAAGAAAAATGGTAGACCTCCACAAGTCTGGTTCATCTTTGGGAGACATTTCCAAGCGCCTGAAGGTACCACGTTCATCTGTACAAACAATAGTACGCAAGTATAAACACCATGGGACCACGCAGCCGTCATACCGCTCAGGAAGGAGACGCGTTCTGTCTCTTAGAGATGAACGTACTTTAGTGCGAAAAGTGCAAATCAATCCCAGATCAACAGCAAAGGACCTTGTGAAGATGCTGGAGGAAACGGGTACAAAAGTATCTATATCCACAATAAAACAAGTCCTATATCAACATAACCTGAAAGGCCGCTCTGCAAAGAAGAAGCCACTGCTCCAAAACTGCCATAAAAAAGCCATACTACGGTTTGCAACTGCACATGGGGACAAAGATCGTACTTTTTGGAGAAATGTCCTCTGGTCTGATTAAACAAAAATAGAACTGTTTGGCTGTAATGACCATCGTTATGTTTGGAGGAAAAAGGGGGGTCCTTGCAAGCCGAAGAACACCATCCCATCCGTGAAGCACGGGGATGGCAGCATCATGCTGTGGGGGTGCTTTGCTGCAGGAGGGACTGGTGCACTTCACAAAATAGATGGCATCATAAGGAAGGAAAATTATGTGGATATATTGAAGCAACATCTCAAGACATCAGTCAGGAAGTTAAAGCTTGGTCGCAAATGGGTCTTCCAAATGGACAATGACCCCAAGCATACTTCCAAAGTTGTGGCAAAATGGCTTAAGGACACCAAAGTCAAGGTATTGGAGTGGCCATCACAAAGCCCTGACCTCAATCCTATAGAAAATGTTTGGGCAGAACTGAAAAAGCGTGTGCGAGCAAGGAGACCTACAAACCTGACTCAGTTACACCAGCTCTGTCAGGAGGAATGGGCCAAAATTCACCCAACTTATTGTGGGAAGCTTGTGGAAGGCTACCCGAAACGTTTGACCCAAGTTAAACAATTTAAAGGCAATGCTACCAAATGCTAATTGAGTGTATGTAAACTTCTGACCCACAGGGAATGTGATGAAAAAAATAAAAGCTGAAATAAATCACTCTCTACTATTATTCTGACATTTCACATTCTTAAAGTAAAGTGGTGATCCTAACAGACCTAAAACAGGGAATTTTTACTAGGATTAAATGTCAGGAATTGTGAAAAACTGAGTTTAAATGTATTTGGCTAAGGTGTATGTAAACTTCCGACTTCAACTGTATGTGTGTGTATATATTTGTGAGAAAAAAAACATGTGGGATTGGAAGTGATGCAGACAATTACAATGATGGAAGTTAAAATCTATCTGCAATATTAAAGCTGATCTACCCCCTAAATTTTTTTTTACTAAATTCAAAATAACTCTAGTCTTACCTTGACTCTGTGTCCTTGATTCCTCAACCTCTTTCACAAAAGGCAGGTTCCTCCCCTCAGACCTTCTCCAATGTGCTTTGAGAATGTTGAGGAATCAAGGAAAGACATTTGAGATTTACTCTCGGTTGTGCTACCACAGGGACATTGAAGAAGTTGGTAGAAGTCCAAATAC